TCATAAAGACATACTATACATTTTAATTAATTACCCCTTTGTTCTGCTGTCCTCGATAATCTGGGTTGGGTTCGCTGAAATTTGGCACTTCTGAATAAACCATACAAAATCTGAAAGAAAATAAAAGACAAGTTAAATGACTTCTGAAATAAAGTAATCAACCTTTCTTTATATAACATCCCTAACTTATAGGAATGAAGACCTTAGTGTCAAATTAACAGCAACATGTTAACGCTATTCATTTATAAAAGAAACTTCCTAAATGATTATGTCTCATAAAAATACCAAATATTTGACTGTCTATAAGCATAAAACATTCTATTTTATATTTAAATTCTTCTTTTGTACTGCAAAAAATAAATCATGTCAAAGATCAAGGACACAGAAACACTTCTTTGTCCTGTTTTTCCACACAGGCTGATGCTAGTGAACCATGTTTAGGGTTCCAGAGTGGTTTCTCCAGCAGTGGTGATGGATTTGCATGATCCATTCACACACTCATCCAGTCCCTCTTTTGACCAATCACTGTGTATCTGCAAAGACAATCATTCAAGGTTAAGAGTGGTTTCCAGGTGATAAAGAAAGAAAACTGGCCATCAAACCACCAGTTTACCCCAGTGTTGCTTATAAATTGACATATGGTGTCAATTAACATTACACATAAGTATTTTCTTAGGTCCTCACCCCACAAAAAAGAAATTAGAAGCAGTTTTGGTAAATCCTAGACTGACCCTGACAAAGAGCAGTCATTAAGAATTGAGTGACCTCCAGTGGTTCTTCACACTAACCTCCATTATTATACCTCTTTATGTACACAAGGAGGCCAGGACAGAATCTTGAACATTTTGGTTATAGACACTAAGATCTTTCATAACACATAACTCTAATATTACTACTCTAATCTTCTTTCTAGCAAACAGTGTTAAACCAGTTACTGATCTTTAAAAGCTACTATGATTGCTTTTTCTCCCTTTCATTATAAACAGATCATCCAAACAAAATATCTCAAGCCCTTAGTGTAGAATAGCTTTCCTTTTTTATGGTGCCATTTGTGGCTTCTCTCTTTGAATATCCTCCAATTCAATGGGCATTAAGTCGCTATCTGAGCATTAACCAAGTAGAATGGACTAACGATTTAGCTCATTGCCTTCACCATACTTTCATACAACCCAAATGTCTAGGCTAGCATGGAGGCTGAATTACCTTTACACCCCTAGAGAGGATGGTTCCTCCAGGTCAGGGTGGAGATCATTACCAGGGTGGTAGTGTACGGAAGCTCGCATTGCGGCTGCCTGCACCGTACCTAGACTGTGGATAAATAGAGGACTTCAGTTTTCATTGCTGCAAGTCCTTTTAACGTGAGTACATTCACCCATAACCAGAAAAAAAGAAAATTTAAACTTATGGCCTGAAACTCATACCTAGCTTCTTATTTGGCAAATTACTAGGAGACTGTGCTTTCAAATGGCACTTGTGACATCTGAAAGATGTATATTTCTAAAGCCTACAGAAATGGTCCCACTGGGGTTGGTCTCTACTGCAGCTTCTTACTGCTCTTTGCCAGGAAAAAATGACATTTACAACCATAGGAAACAGTATTGATAGGTGTTAAACTAGTACATGCAAAGTTATTTTTTCAGTTAAGCTGTCAAAGACATTCAGTTTACTAGTCAAAAAAAGCCAAGTAAGAGGTTTACAGTTTAAACCTACCAATGAAGACATTATTTGTAATTAATTATACAAAATGCATTTTAATACTTACTCCCCAATTTTTTGAAGTTCACCACCTCTTCCAGTATAAAGTGTCAGACATCCTTTCCACATGGATGCATACCTAAAGAGAAAAGAAATGTTAGTTCTTTGGAAATATGTATATTTTCTTCTATTCAAATCAAGTACATCTTCATACTGTATATTTTTGTACTGAGGTAGAAGTGAGAATCAAGCCCTCTCTCTACTACAGTAAATCAAATACAATAAATCTAACTTTGATTAACTTGCTACTTACAAAGGAATAATAAAGAAATTCTACTGCCGAATTTTGACATAATTAACTATGACAAACCCTAGAAAATAAAAGTCTTTTTGCAAAGCAAAATTATACCCTAGATGATCATATCTTTAGTCAATTAACAAAGGAAGAACTTTTAATTGTAGAAATTTAAGCAGAAATTATTTTTCAGCCACACGATATATAAAATCAACACCCCAGTGTTTACTTTTATGCTCATTTACACAGTGATATACTGTCTTTTCTTCTGCCCTCCATAAAAGACACAGGGTTCCCAAGCTATGGAAGATTTGGTAGAATTTAATCAAGGTGATTAAAAAAACTAAAGTCACACGCCTGTAATCCTAGCACTCTGGCAGGCTGAGGCGGGCGGATTGTTTGAGCTCAGGAGTTCGAAACCAGCCTGAGCAAGAGCGAGACCCCGTCTCTACTAAAAATAGAAAGAAATTAATTGGACAACTAAAAATATATAGAAAAAAAAAATTAGCCGGGCATGGTGGTGCATGCCTGTAGTCCCAGCTACTCGGGAGGCTGAGGCAGAAGGATCGCTTGAGCCCAGGAGTTTGAGGTTGCTGTGAGCTAGGATGATGCCATGGCACTCTAGCCCAGGCAACACAGTGAGACTCTGTCTCAAAAAAAAAAAAAAAAAAAAGTCACAAACCATTCGCCAATCTGCCTTTCCAAATTCGCAATTTTTGATACCAACCCAGCTAAACAATTGTTTACTCTGAACAATTTTGAATGCAGACATCTTTAAAATAATCCCTTGCAAAAGACAATTCCTCCAAGCAAAAAAAAACAAAATTAGATACAAATCTAAGAAAAAGGTAAATTAATCAATATTACTCAGTCTTAAATCAGCCCAAAGTTTGGTTTTCAACAGTTCTCTGTACAACTACTATGGTAACTGCATAACTTTTAAAATGATTTATATACAGTTCATTTTAATAAGGGTTTTTAAGGACTCCATTCACCACTCTTAAGTTATACAAAGAGTGACATAGGAGACAGCGCAGTAGTAACATTTCACCATACTAAAATAAAATTAATGCAAATTTTGAGAAAAAATTTCAATAGTTAAAATTAAAGCACTTAACTTCTACTTGTTTAAGAAATGAGAACACTGAAATCAAGTTTTCAAGTTTTTCTGAATTAACCATTATTTAGATGTTAGGTATATCTTTCTTCAAAAGCTACTTTTCTTAGATTCGACCAGAATTTAAGGGCCTTACAATGGCCCAGACTCCAAGCTGAGTGTGTTATTTTAGTAAGTAAGGTATAATCATTCCCATTTTACAGAAGAGGAAGCTGAAGTATGAGGTGTAGTAACTTCCCAAGGTCATATTAAAGCAGCAAATAGAGCTTCTTTAGTTTTGAATTTTCCTTTAAACTGTACTCCTAGGTAATTGCTCTCCTTAACATTATATAGACACCATAGCTACTGAGTTTAATTTCTTGACGAATCTTTTAATAGAACCATCTATGCCTGTGACTACAGAATATGAAATATTTGAAATGAGATGCTGTTTTCAGTGTATACTTTTACTCATTGGATGAAAGATATTTTGGGAGTCAAGAAACTTCAATTATGCTAATCCTCACCACACCCTCTCATGCAGGAATTCTCTTTTAAACATGTGAAAATTTAAAAGACATAAGTAGTGTCATGAGTCAGTGTATGAGAATAAAATGTCTTAAGTCCTGACTCTCACTTCCTGCTGTGATTACCTCACTTCCTGAAGATGTTGTAAGACCTGAAAGATAGTATCAAAGAGCTCGAAGCTCTTGCACTCACGGCTCCCCAATACTTCTCTGAAATTATATTTATTAGGCCAGGATCAATCTCCACCTACTCTTTCAGTAGTTATGATTGATAAATCACAATTCCAGTGATCACCAAAGCTTCCAAATTCTATTTTTTTTTTTTTTGAGAGTCACACTCTGTCACCCAGGCTAGAGTGCCCTGGCATCAGCCTAGCTCAGAGCAAACTCAAACTCCTGGGCTCAAGCGATCCTCCTGTCTCAGCCTCCTGAGTAGCTAGGACTACAGGCACATGCCACCACGTCTGGCTAATGTTTTTTCTATCTTTAGTTGTCCATCTGATTTTTTATTCTTAGTAGAGACAGAGGTCTCGCTCCTCCTCAGGCTGGTCTTGAACTCCTGAACTCAAGTGATCCTCCCTCCTTGGCCTCCCAGAGTGCTAGGATACATGCCACCATGCCCCGCCCAAATTCTATTTTCAAGATCCTGTCCTGACCTTTTATCTTCCTAAGATAAAGTTTTAGTAAATTTTTTAAAACATCCTATCAAAAAAAAAGTGCTAAATACAGAAGGCAAAGAAATTTTTGAGAATGAGCCTTCCAGATATCATAAACTTCTCTTAAATTTTTCCAGTGCAAATTTTACATACCACAGAAAATGATGAATTCCCCAACTGCAATTTTAATTTATGTCCACATCGTCTAAATAACATAGGTAAAATATTGGCCAGAATTTCAAGTCATTAAAAAGTGAGGGGCTGAAAACTGAGTGACAACTACATTGAATTAAATAACTTAGGAAAAGAGAAAATGTGGACTGTATCAATCCACTAAAAGACTCAATGACTCTCAGAATAGCATTTAAAACTACACTCGACCTGTGAACTTGGTGGTGGCGGTGGTGAGAGGGCGTGGAGGATTATAAAAGCCTTAAACCAACTACTTTTATAACTGCAAAGGTGTGTTAACATCCCAGTGCTGCCCACCATTCAATTTTAACACCAAAGAAGCTCAAAATTCCTTGGAGTGGCCCACAGAAGAGACACGGAACTCCAGAACTTGACAAGATCCCGGGAGTCAGCCAATCCCGATTCTGCAGACTGTTCCGACATTCTCTTCCCACACACTTCTATGCACACCTACCCTCTGGTCAACCGAATAATATCCCCTGGCTGTATAAGGCTTCCGATCTCATCCCACACGGAAATAGTGATGCTGCCCGTTTTATCTGCTACTTTGCACGATCTCACTTCATGGCCGTCTTTGGTTTTGGTCACGCGTCCTGTGAGGGTTTAAAAATCAAAGGGGGGGGGGGCTGTGTTAGATGAGGACGTCCAGAAAAGCTCCCTAACTCCTCCTCCGGTATTTTAACACATCTGGAAGGTGGGAACAGGCCAAGCCGGGAGTTCTTGCCGCAGGTAGGATCTGAGCCCAGGCGGGAGCCACTGGAGACACGTGGGTGGGGGAGGGGAAAGAGGAGGGGGAGGGGAAGGGAAGCCCCCGGCTCGCGGCCGCGGCACCCTCTCTCCCGTGTCGGGGTGCATAAGGGCGGTGGAGTGGGCTGCGGACCCCCACTTACCTATCTCCAGGACAATAAAGACGACATTTAAGTTTTTCAGTCCGGGCTTAATGTCTTTTATAAAAAGAGGCGGGTCGTTGACCCCATTCATATTGAGGCAGGTGCGGCTACGGCAGCGGAGACACACGAGTGGGCAGGGCGGGGACAAAGCTTCCCACCCTCTCGGGCCAGGGGCGAAGGCGGAAGGGCGACCTTGGGCGGGGGTGGCGAGAGAAGGGGCAGAAAGCGGTTAGTCAGGGACCGGGGAAACCAGCCCGGACGGCACTGAGCCTAAAAAAAGAAAAAGGAAAAAAAAAAAACGCTCACAAGTTAAAAAGAATAAAAAACACGAACCACTCCGCACACCAACCCCGCTCCCAACTGGGCTACAGGATGGCAAGCGTGCGAACTGCCCCGTTCTTTGGAGAAAAGATAAAAAAAAAAAAGGCAACGAGTAGACAGCTCTGCCCTAAGTCCCGCTCACACACACACACACACGGGCGCGCGCCCAGCCTCTCCCGAGCTCCGGGAAGGGACCGGCTGTGACAGCGAAACCCGATCAGAGACAAGACAACCGCGCACCCAGCGTCCCAAACAGCGACTGACGAACGCACCCACACGTCGGCTGGAACCCTAGGCCGCCCCGCCTCTTATGACGTCACGCGGCGTCTGCACGCCCGCTGCCACGCCCTCCTGGTACGGGGGAGGAAAGAGAGGGGGCGGGAGCGGACCAACGACGCCGCGCTGCCGCCCTCGCTCCTCCCCCGAGGCTGTCAGCGCGGGCCCCGCCCCCTCGTCCTTCCAATCCGCTCTCGGCCCCGCCCACCCCGCCCGCTCTCCTCCCAGTCCGGCCGCAGCGGCGCCGCGTCACAGCTGAGCTGCCTCGCCTTCCTGCTAACGCTTTTTACCGCTCGGTGCCCAACTTTGGGTTTTCTTGCCTTTGTTTCCCGCAGAGTTCGGTCCCCCACCCTTTCCTTCTAGTCCTGCGATCACGGGGAATGGTGCAGTTTAGGACTCTGGGTACGTTAAAAAGTGTGCAGTCGGGTAAGACCAGGGTTCTACCCGGGGTCGTTGGTCCCGGGCCAAGGAAAAACACGCTGGGATGGTGAAGGGGTCTGTGGTTGTAAGGCTGGATTTTAGCCTAGAAGGGAACTGGGAGATCAATTTAAATTGGCCTCATTTTAGGCATACTTAAATTGAGATCCAGAAAGTTGAGGTAGTTTGCTGAAGGTCACCTGGCAACTTATGAGTGGGCAAAACTGCACCACAAGTCGTCCCACTTGGTCTTCCACTTTTCACTCGAATACAAGCAGATAGACAAGTAATTAAATTCCTTTGCAGACCTCATTTTTCCTTACCCCTTCCCTCTCAGATTACACCTTTTCCCCATTTTGCTTTTCTTCTTTTACTTTACACTTGTTTTTATACATCCAAAAGAAAATATACAACAGTTGTGGGAACACCTGCCCCATAACTGAAAAAAAAAATGAATAAAGTTTTAAAGTTTTTTTTAATTTCATACAGTGAAAAGAGTATGTACTTTAGAGACAAACCTGGGCTCAAACTATTTGCTAGTTATGTGACCTTTAGGACAAATGGTTAAGCTGTCTAGCTAGCCATAATTTAATCATCTGAAAAATAAAATCCCTGTCTCACCGAGGATTAAATGGGATCATAAATAAATTGTCCAACTACTGCCTAGCAAATATTAATAGTAGATACTCAATATTTTCCCCTTGCCAATTTTCTATTATTAAAAAGAAGAAAAACAATAATAGCCTGTGATTACTTAATCCTTTCATTGACTTTGTAGAGCGAGTGCTAATTTTACTGATGATGAAACTCACCAAAGGCCACATAGCTACAGAATGGCCAAACTGGGTTTGAATCTAGGGGCAATCTTGGTCCCAGAGCTCTCCAGCCTAAAGTTAATTTTTAGATTTAGATTGCAGTGGTGGAATTATAAGAGTCGAGAAACAGACTGAAGAAATAAAATAGTAGCAGCAAGATAAAGCAGTAGGGCTTTAAAGAATCATCTAGTTGACTATTCGTGATGGTAACAGAAATATTGGAAAGTGTCAGAGAATTTGTTAATTTTTCCCCTTTATTTCCTGAATATTTTTAGATCAACCACCACTTCCCAAACATCTGCACAGATATATTATAGATCTTGAAAAAGAGTCAAAAATAATCACAGTATTAGCAAAGCAGTCAGGGCATTCTTAAGGAAACAGAAGTTTCCATTTCATGGATTAATAAAGCCCAGAGTGCTAAAGATGTTGACATAATGGAAAGTTGTGTAAAATAATATAAGCATGATTTCAACATCAAATAAAACAAATGATGAAACATGCCAATTCATGGCAGAACCACCATCCAACTTCAGGGCTCCCAAAGACTCCAATCCAGATCAGAAGCTCTGATTACCACGGTTGTGTGATGAGACTTGACACTTCAAATGGATTGCCCTCAAAGCTGTATTTTCTAATGCTGGCAAAACATTCTCACAGAAACAATATTTAAATCAGTCTTTTTTTTTTTTAAGATTTGACAAGATCTTCAAAAGATTAAGAATAGATAAGAAACCAATTAAGAACTTGGAGCAGAATTATGGCCAAGCATTTGGGCAAAGAAAGTAATTAGCCACTCTCTGAACTCTCAGTCATCTGTTGCCAGAAAGGGGATTAGATGGGGCTGTTCAGACTAGTTATATTGACATTTTATAAAGAGGAACAAGACACTTAGGAAACAAAGCCCCACAAAAGCAGATGCTGGTGCTCAGAGCAGTGACCCAGCCCTTCCCTTCCCCCACAGGACATAACTCAGCTGAACATCTATTTCCTTCCCTACTTACTCAGTAGTTCTCAAAAAGGAAATGCAACCATATGCTTTCTCATTAACCAAAACCAAAGACAGCCTTGAGAAACAAGATGGAGCTCTTCAACTCAGGCTAGTTGGTTTCAATTACCCCTAAATCACTCCCAACGATGGTGATTAATAAAAAGAGAAAGGGATATCAAGAAGAACAAATATTGCTAAGCAGATAATCTTTCCTGAAATTACCATTCAGTGAAATAAACAAGGAGATCTGTCATTCAGCCCATCCAGTTAGGTCAAAATGATTATATCGCTGATTCTTTAGTATATTTATAAGATTACGTCATGACCTTCTCCCTTCTGAGGCTGTCAGTCATCTGGCCTTCTTCATTTTTCACAGTCCAAACATAAACTTACTCTGAGATGATGGGCTCTTCTACATTTTGCCCAGAACCTCAACACCACAACTTCATGTAAAGATGCTTAGCGAGATCCAGTGTAATACAGAAGGGCACCCGGTAGAGTCCTGCTCGTATAAGGCTCTGGTTACCTGGGTCCTCATTGATAAAGGTTTTTCTATAAACTTTCCCCGGCACTCAGTACGCATGCTCACTCCCAGGTTTTGGTTTCTGGTATTACCGAGATCATTTTCACTTTGTTTGCACCATCCATCTATTTAGAACTATTAACACATCAGTAAAACCTATCACCAAGTACTGTCGGTTACTAGACATTTTGTATGGTGAAACTAACAATTTTAAAAATTAAAAAGAACTATAGTGTTCTCACATAATCCACTTTGTAACATAATTGACAAGGTCAAAAACAAAAACAATCTTGTTAAAAAGATTTACACGAAAGACTCAGAAGTAATGAATGTTTAGTAATGACTGCAACAATATCCACACAAATCATCCCTGTAATGATAAATGCTAACACATATTGAGCATTTCCTATAAGCCAGGCATTTTACACTTATAAGCACTTTACATTTTTTTATATATTATTTAAAAATTAATGTATATGAGGTAATTGCTCTCATTTTACAGTAAGTTATAGAACTGGGATTTAAAAACAACCATGTGTTATATGTGATAACCTTTTCTACAAAACAGTTTGTTTGCCCTGGAAAGTATATTTCTTTGGTCATCTAAATGGGGAATTGGATCTTTCAAAGTCTTCATAAATTCACAGTGATAAATGCAGTAAAATGTTATGCGATTCCCCAGTGTCTGATTCTGTAGGGGCAGTGAATTCTGCTTGTGAGGAATAACTAGTTTCCTTTGGACAGAAATTCATCCCTAAATGGGTTAATTCAGCTCAGCTATATTATCTTTTAATGAAAGAGTGAACAAGTTTGGCTTCTGTGTTCTAAAAAACTTCTTTCAAATGTACCATACCTCTAAAATAGCTGCCTGGATTTATTGTTTATTCAGATAAAAAAAAAACCAAAATATTATTGGATACTGAACTAATCGGAGACTGATAAAACAACATACAGTATCTAGCTGCTTCAAAAAGAGTTACTCACTACAGTTTGCTGATGTTTCCCAATGTAATTAATAAATAAATAAAATAATAAATAACAGGTGTGAAAACCCCAGCTACACTGGGCGCAGTGGCTCATGCCTGGAATCCTAGCACTCTGGGAGGCCGAGGTAGGAGGATCGCTTGAGGTCAGGAGTTTGAGACCAGCCTCAGCAAGAGTGAGACCCCATCTCTACTAAAAATAGAAAAATTAGTCGGGCGTCATGATGCACACCTGTAGTCCCAGCTACTCAGGTGGCTGAGGCAGGAGGATCACTTGAGCCCGGGAGTTTAAGGTTGCTGCGAGCTAGGCTGATGGCACAGCACTCTAGCCCAGGCGACAGAGCAAGATTCTGTCTCAAAAAAAAAAAAAAAAGATTCTGAGGCTGAATGAATTATAAAAAGAAAAAAAGAAAAGAAAATCAAAAAAAAAAAGAAAGAAAGAAAACCCCAGCTAGCCTGGTTTCAGAGCCCTCTTCCTTAATAGGCCTTGCAAGAAGTATGTGACAGTTTCTCCTAACATCATGCCTGACATACGTTGGAGTGGAGGGCTTGATGACTCTTTGTAGAAGTCTGATTTACTGTCATGGTTTCTCTATAATAAAAATGAATGCCTTTTCTGATGTTGGAGATTATCAAGCATCACACACATGCACATACGCATACATGCACATATTCACACACCAGGAAATCACCAGGAAGAAACAGTAAATGTTTCCAAACAAACCCCTAATCGAGTATTTCCCATAGTAGCATAGAGTGTCCCAGTTGGAAGGATGCTTACAGATAATGTAGTCTGACCCCTTCATATTGTGTATGAAAAAATACAAGCTCAGAGATGTTAACAAGATTACCACCTACAGTCCCTAATGAATTAATGGATCTCAGCAATCATTACCAGAGACTGCTAATATCACACAAAGAGAGGCAACCAATCCAAACCAATTAAATAAGAATCTCTCAAGGTGGGACTTAGGCATCAACATATCTTAAATCTCCCCAGGTAATGACAACATGCAAGTAAGTCTGAGAATCACAGCAGGTTAAGAGATTTTGTTTTCCAGGATAAATTTTCTTTGTTTTCCATCTATCTATTAATACTCTGAAACAGTGTTTCCTTTATACTAGGTTAGGGAAAGCCTGCACTGATAAATTTCTAGGACTGAAATAACTGATTGATTATATATTTAAGATTTCTAATATGTATTATCAAATTACATTTTAGGAATTTTTGAAGAGATTTATACTCCATTTGCCCTTTGTATATACAGTAAACATAATTCATTAATT